TCGGATATTACAAAGAACAAAAAATAAAATAAGCATTAATCTACATGAATGAATAAAATATGTAAATTAAAATCCATTAAGGAAATAGTCGACTGGATGGGTAAGCTAATGCATGTATTATTGTCTTTTAATTTTAGTTTATATTCTAAGATATATGTGGCAACATATTCTAGACTTTTATGATTCCGTCGTGTGGAGATTTTTCACATTTCCCGCTACAAATTCGAAGTGTCGGAAAACTGAGAGTTCAGTTCACTTCCTCAAACCTTCGAATAAAAGTAAAAATATTTAATATATTTAATTGCTTTTCCCACAGTCAAAAAAAAAAATATAATAAATAATAAAATTCAGTTAACCCTGAAACAACCTGTATAGTATTATATTGTCCGTTTTACAATAATTATGTTGATTATGTTAATTATCACTTATATTTCTATTTCTTTATATTCATAATATAAACACCCGATAATTTTTTGGTGGGTTCCATCGTCCTCCCAATCAGAATGGAAAGTCCAGGCCTATGGTGTGAGGATCTGTTGGCTTTTGGGGACGTGGAATGAGGTGTACTCTCCAAAAACTATACTATTTTTTAGATAATTATTCTTTATTATTGCTATAATTTTCTAAACATTTGCTCAGAATTATAATTCACTTAAAGAGTTAATAAAGACGTACAATGACAGCTGCTAGGTTTGCTAAATGCGTTGGCAACGAGCCTAGAGCTGCACTCTCAAGTTAATTAGCTTCCTGATACATTTCAACACTGCTTAATTCTACATGTTATCTTTAACATGTCATATTTCAAGACATGATTAACTTTGATGGATTTATATCAGCACGATAGACACCTTTTTGTCTTCTTAGGAAACCTAATATTAATAAATGTCATAAGTTAGACTTAGAACGTATGATATTTATAATTTACAAATTAACGAACATTAAATACTTTAAGATTTGATGCTTTTTGGCCTTCCACGTGTCCATCTCTCTTTTGCCTTTTATTGAGGCATTCATTGTTACGTAGAAGCTTCCAGATGAATTACTACGAGCTTCATGCCCTGCCCATCTTAACTTCCGTGCCTTCATATCATGAGCTATTGATTGACCAGTTTCTGTAAGCTGTTCTTTATTGGTCTTTCTTCTTCACGTTTCAGTACTCTTATCTCAGATCTCTCCGGTTATCGTGCCCAGGATTTTTCTCTCAAATCTTTCAGTACTTTTTCCTAGGGTACTGGTTAGTGTCCAGGCCTCACATCCATATATTAGAACTGGCTAATTTTCTTTCTACGAATTGTGACGTTACATAATGTAAAGGAGCATTCACGGAAAATAGTAACAGATTCGTATTTAGCTTCACGAAGAACCCTCAAATATGAATTTTCATAGCTTTAGAAAAATAATTATTTTTGCTTCGAATTTTCACCAAGGCTGTATATATATATAGCCTTAGTCTTTTTTTTTTTTTTTTTATCTTTTATTTATTTATTTTTTTTTTTTTTACGAAAATCACAAAAAATCGATAACCATGGATTTTGAAGAATGATGTATCCGAATGAACGGGTATTCGATTGCGACGTGATGAACAATAGTCACTTACTCCCGAATTTTCAGTGGAAAAAGTTATGAAAGAAATAGAAACAAATTTATTTGCAGATATCTCAAACCTTTTTTAAGGAAAAAGACAGTTGAGATTTGTATTTAGCACCCCAACGAACCCTTAAATACGAATTTTCACAGCAATAAAAAATTAAACTGTTTTGCTTCGATTGTACAACGGTAATCATAGTTTTGAAATAAAAGACACCATGGAGTGAAAGGATGAAACCGAGAGGAGAAAAAAGCAAACAAACAATAAAAATGATCTCTTAATGGTGCGATTTTTTTTTTTTTTTTTTTAATATTTAGAGTCTAGTTTCAAAATTGGCAAAGAACTATCCGAAGATCTTGCAGATAGCAATCAGGTAAATAAAATGTATGCTGTGTGATACAATTTTATGACCGCGACTGTATACATTGAAATGAAAACATTTTGATAATAACAAACCATTCAATAATAATTTGCAAAGTTTTTATTTTTTTCTCCATTAATGGAACAATTTAAATTAAAACCTTTTTAAATAATAACAAGTACGAGGAAAATACGACTTTCCCGACAGAGCTCTGTTGTTCACGTATTTTTCTTTTTTCTTTTTTTCTTTTCAATTAACCGATATAATCGGACAAGGAAAAGAAAATCCATTCATAATTACAATAATACATTACATTTATTTATTTCCATATTATATTATTAATTGTTCCCTGATCAATATACTATGCAAATTATTTGCATATATTTCTATATAAATTATTTTTTATTTATTTTATATTTAGTGTTTAATATTTCACTTTCCTAGAAACGGTGATGATGTTAAACTGGTGACCTCATTATTTAAAGTGGCCTTTGAAATGTTTGAACTTCAGTGTTCTTGTTGCAACAATGAAGGATCACCTTTCTTAAAGTAACATATGGTTGCAGGTGTATGATATTGTTTTAGTACGAAAAACTACTTTAATGATAGTGCCACGGACATGAAGGATGGCAAAGTTTAAGGTTCAAATAGAAGCACTAAGTATTATGAGTTTACGAAAAATAAAAATGTTGTGAATACAACCGTAAAAAAAGTTCTTTTTTTTATTAAATTAAATAATTAAATTAGTAACCATTAAAATTCTTTATAGTTTATATTTATTCATTTTACATAATACTAATGGTGTATAACTTTCGAGGAAGAAACTTTGAAAATTTGCTTTTAAATCCATGATAGGATATTTAAATGAGATTAATACCTATCTGGCAGTAAATATTTAGTAATTTTAAATTAATATAACGAGTTTCATCCAAATATTTTACAGAAATTTTGAGAAAACTGTAAAATGTATAAAGAAATAAAGTGCCACTTCCGGTAGATTGATTTTGAAGAAAAAGTCGCTGTAACATCATAAGCATATGAATATGTTTTAGGTTTTCAGGGTGAAATAAAATTCCATGTATTATAGAGATAAAATTTATTTTAATCTATAATATATTGACCATTATTTAATATGACTTTTTCCTATCTTTAGCTACATAATGCCATGCTCATAGAATGTCTGGAGTTTATTGTTCATAAACTAATCCAAGTGGTTTCTTATGTAATATTCCTTTTAGAATTTATTTCTGCAGTTCTGCAGGGACCAGAATAAGTGGTAGTCACTTGGAGCTAGGTTTAATGAATATGGAGGGTAGGGACCAGACCATTTGAGCATCATTGATGTAAAAATTTTCTGAATGAAATTTTACAAACCAATTTAGACAGGTGCGTTCGTTTAAGACATAAACACTGCAATTTTTCTATAAGCTTCTGCAACACGCTTACCTTCTTAAAAAAATACAACCGATAATGAATGATATTTTCTTCTATATTCACAGTGCAAAAGCAAATACAATACTGAGCTAGTTTTAACAAAAGTTAACAGATATAATTGTTGATATATTACAAAGAATATGTAAGTGTATAAGAAGTGTATGATAGTGACATAAAAATAACAGAAAAACCGAAAGGACTTACTTGCCAACCCAATATAATGCAACCAACTTTATTATCTTTCGAAGCGCTTAAATAAATCTTTTATAAGTTCGCAAGTCAAATTTATTATAAAATTGTTTTTTATGAAATATAATCATCTGGACAGAACTGTAAGAAGTTTTTCTATTACATTATTTCAATATATCCTTAGGTTTTTCATGAGGATTGGTATAAATGTCTCTTTGAAAGATTCCTTCAAACTTTCTATAGCATGGCTATCGCGGTTAACAGTTGCTAGATGTTATGTGTTTTTTTTTCTTCGAATACTTCTGTACGGCCTTCAATTGTTTTCTACATCGTTTCGTTTTAAATCCTTATTCCAAGATCTATTCCTATTTTTATTTCAAGAACTTATAGTACATTAAGGCAAAATAATTTTAAGATGGATGCTGCACCATTAAAAAACGAACTATCACTTTGTAATAAAATTATCATATTCAACATGCTACTTAGACCCATGTGGACGTATGCTACTTAGGTGTGTGGTCCAATCACCCCTATAGAAATTTAAATCTTCAAATCTAAATTTCTTCGGACCCCTTAGTCGTAAACCTCTGACCTCCTGTCCTACAGTTTCATTTAACAATACTCCACTTATCCCGGTTGAACAAATCAGATACATTGGACTCCAACTTGACAAACGTCTAACTTGGAATCCTAATACCAGACTGAAACGACAAGAAAACGCTCGACGTATCCGATTACTTCAGTACTTACTGGACTAACAATCTAAACTGCCAATTAATTTCAAAAGATTCATATACATGACAGTAATAAGGTCTATTTGGACTTAGGGATATGAGCTATGGGGCTCCACTAAAACATCGAATTCCTCTTGTATCCAATCCTTACAATCCAAAATACTTCGTAAAATCCTCAATGCTCCATGTTTTGTTACAAATAAAACCTACTAAGACCTTAATGTTTCTTATGTTTCAGACCTGGCCCAATCCAAATACCTGTCCTTCCATAATAAACTTCAGAATCATCCCAACCCTCTCGTTTCTAATCTTGCTTCCTCTTCAATTCCTGATAACCCTCCGAGGCGTCTGGAAAGAAGATGGCCGCGTGATCTCCTAATGTAGACATATCATTAGAGTGCTACCATTGGATAGTTTCTCAACAAGTGCTTTCACGTCGTTATATCCATATGTTCAAATTTACTAAATGAATTTATTTTATACAGTTGTAAATATCATTAAGAAATTTAAAAAAAAATCTTCGGTGTATCATTCTCTGTTGATTTTCGTAAGGACTCTTTAAGACTCTATCTATCTACACGCAGATAAGACTTAGCGAAGCTGGTAAGACTTATCAACCTTAACGTTAGTCCCCATGAGAAAGTTCACATTTAAAAAAATTCAAAGAACGCATTAAAAAAAATATGCCGAAAAGAATTTGTAAAATTTTTCAATAAATATATTTATTATTATTGTTACTACACAATGTTATACTTTTAAAACGTATATTTACCAAATAAACATATTCATAATACATATATTGGCTATTATCACCCTCTTCTTCAACCATCTGAAGGCCCCGCCACTTGGAAGGCCACTATGAATCCTCCAATGTACCCAAGAGCGAGGAAGAGATTACTGTTAAAGAAGAGGACAGTCTCGTTTACGAAGCGTTCGATAATGTTCATATCCTCCGGGTTGGGGATTGCACAGAAGCAAGAAGGAATTGAAGGTCTGTTGGTGACGTGGCCCGCCAACCTGAACGCCACCAAGCCGATTCCTATAGCCATCGCCCAGCCTTTCCCCGCCACCTTGCCCAGAAACCCAGAGAGGGCGCCCGTCACAGATCCTATGATCAATTGAGCCTTGATCGTAGTCGACTCCATTATGTTGATGATATCAGTCGGGCTCCGAGAGGATTCGGATGCCTTCATCCTGGCAGTCCTGGCGTTGATCGTGGCAACCGTGGAAGACGGCATCTACGGGCTGGTAGAGTACGTCAACTGGAACTGTGAATAGAAGTAGATTGTTGACATTATTCTTCAACCTCAGTAAAAAATGAACAATAATATTGTGTTATTATAACTGTATTAGAACAAAATGTATTATAACCATTATATGTAATATAGTAGGATTTCGCAGTGTTGATTTCTTTTTCGGCCCTCAGAAACGAAGGAAATTTCATAAAGAAGTGACTGAACATAGCCTCATTCCTCCGAAATTTCAGGAAAAAAAAATATGAAGGCAAATAAACTTTATTTGCCTTGTTGTTATAACTAATTCCGAAACTACACAGTTTTTTTTCTGTTAGTTATTTATATGATTACTAATTTACCTACAAAATTTAAAAAAAAAAATCCTAAAAATTGGATCATTATTGGCAAAGATACAGCCTGCATACAGCATAGGTGGGGAAACTGGAGGCCGCATGTGACTTTGAGTTGTGTTCCCCAAACGTTTTCACGCGGTATATATTAATCTAGTGCTAGAATTAATTAATATTTAAGTAACGGCAATGGGAAAATTAGTAGAATTAAGTTGAATACATGAATGAGGGTTAGTGTATCGCTACGTTTTGGGGTGTTACATTTTATCGGGATACCACTGGATAATTATTGATAATAATTATCCAGAATTATTTAATAAATTTAATTAATAAGAAATTAGTAAAATAAATTTGGATTAATAATATATTGATTGGTCCAGAATTAATGAATTGAATTACTTTTTACAAAGGCTGGTGTGTTTTTATCGTGCTCTATAATTACCAAACATTACCTGTGATTATAATGATATAAATAGCTGGCATGATTAAAATAACTTTTATTTACAATTTTATTTTATTTCTATCTTTAATAAAGTATATATATATATACATTATATTTACGTGAATTAATGACAATTAACAATTGGTTGTGATGGCATGGTTTCAGATGGACTGTTTTGAAAATGTATATTGCCATGAAATATTCCAACATTTTTAAAATTAATTGTTGGGAATAAAACTTATTGATTGTATATGAAGTTGTGTAGTTGGCAGATTTCATCGCTGCATCTGCGAAGTTGAGATCATCTGGTCATGGTTCATGTATGGCCAAGGCTTCAGTCCCCAAGCCGGATCTCCACATCAGACCTCTCCTCTAGGCCGGACAGTGACATAAGACCACTCCTCTATGCATCTCAGTGGATTTTATCGAAATATTGAGGGTTGGCCAAGAGTGGTTCTTATTGGTTGCAATTTTTGTAGCCTAAGGGATGACCACACCCCAGGCCGTTTCCAGCTGGTACCTCTGTCTCCTCTTTCTCGAAGGTGCTTCTTTTCCCTCTCTTACCCAAACAAGCTTTCCGATACTATCCAAACATAGCCACGTAAGTCCGGTGTCGGTCCTTTTGTGCTTTTGCCGACCTCTGTCCTTAAGTGTTTCATTGCCCATCACAGAAGGTTGCTAGGGGGTCTGAGGTAACCGGAACACTCTCTGAGTAACCACTTTCCAACCGGTAACCGGACATATGTTAGCGATTATGATTTCGTTCAACATTGTTTTTGACAAATAATAATTTTAAAACTTTATTGGCTATGTCCATTACATAGCAGTATTCAGGGATAGATAAAAATAGCAAAGTTAAAATTTAAAGAATTATTGCGGCCTCAAATAGCACTGCCTAACTTTACTGAAGCCACTAATGATTAAAAGTATTCATTATAATAATGTACGTATTTTCGTTAATTATTGCGAATGAGCTAATGTGATTTGAAGGAGAAAAATATGGTTATTCCCACTATAACATAATTATTTTTTTACAAGCATTAACTTATTTTTACATTATATTGTCAATTATTCACTGACCAATATATTAAGTAAATTATTCGCAGGGACAAACTAGTGTTCCTTTGTTGATTCAGGAGCTTGACATGGAATAAATAATTGATACAAATTTGATTTCAATAAAATAAAAATGTCGTGCGCACATCACAAATCTTCAGTTACCACTCTACGATGAATAGAAATTGTATTTTAGCAACATTGGGCTGTTACCAAAAGTTTGTGAATTCCATTAAGTTAAACCAAAACATTCAAAACATTTGTGACTTTTGGCTAAATGAAAACCTACTAACTCAATCACTTTATTACAATCTTATCATTATCCAGCCCCCGAATCCTCAACACAAAAAAAATTTGAAACTAAACATATTTCCTTATTTTTATTATACTTATTCATATTAAACGTATTTAATCTATATACAAGTAAGGATTGTACTACATAGCAAGAATAAAATAGAAGAACGTTTAATAAAATTAAAACAATCTTCAAAACCGAGTTTAGGATTTAAACACAAGTAACGAGTGATTAGCCGATATTGTGATCGCATTCCTCCTAGTTTATTGCTATTAAAAGAAATCAAAATATTCAACACTTTTATTTATGGCTGGATATTTTTTCTAGTGCCCTCTCGCAGTCTAAACGGGCTTCCAGTACAGTGATGTGGATGGGAGAAAAGATCTGGGACCTACAGGAGCCTAGTTTTGTCTTCCAAACGTGGAAAAAAAAAACCCTGGCTTGGAGTCTCTTGGGAAAATGTAAAAATATGGACGTGAATGAGATTTAAAGAATATTATTTATTTATTCAATAATTATTTTTCTTTATTTTTTTATAGTTAATTACTTTAATTTATTTATCTTCTATGAATATATTTTATGAGTGGCTACTTTGAGCACTAATGCTTATTATCTTTGAGTTTGGCATATTGTGTTAAGATTCAATAAATAAAGTATTATAATTCGAAACACTTTTATTTAAAATGTTCCCTAGTCTGGTTCAGGCATTAGAAACTTTCTTATTATGAAATTTATCTCTTGGATTTCATTTGCTGGGTTTGCTTTGATAACATCCGAGGAAAAATAAAATCTCATTAATTTACTGTGACTTCTCAAAATGCAAGCTAACCTACAATAAAATATAACAAATCTCCAGTGAACCAACCCAAACAGTAAACAAATGTCTAACGAACAGCGAAACTAGCGATTACACAAATTTTCCTTGTTTGATTTCTCTTTAAACAGATAACAAATGTACCGGGCAAAAGCATCAGCATAGAGAAACAACCATTTAGGCATTTATGTTTCCCATAGTTTAGGAAATGTCTAAACACACCTAAACGGACTTAAACAGGAAATCAAAACACTACCAGAGAGAAACATCCTAGATATTTAACAACTATTTATTCAATTATTTAGTCATCAGAAATATGACGGATCTGAAAGATATAATCCTCCATGTCAAGAAGCAAAAAATGATAATGGGAAGGGCACATTTTAAGAAGAGCTGATATAAGGTGACTGTTGTTAATAAAGGCGAAGAGATAAATAGATGAAAAGATGGAGTGACTTCTTTAGAAAGAGGGCTGGACCAGAGTGCTGGAAATCGCTAATAGATAGACATGCCTGGAAACATAAATGTATCCAAATTTTGTACTTGGCTTTCCAGGTTAACGCTCACCTAAGGATTTTCCGGATTGCCATAGTTATTTATTTATTATAATTTTTTAAAATCTATAGTATTTTAATTATTTTTCTGTTGTCGAATTAAAAAAAATATATATACGTTATATAGGACAAACGAAAAGGAACTTGAGAAACATAATAAATCAATACAAATCAATTGAAATTCTAAAATTAAAAAAAACTATAAACTAAGGTTTGTGCACGATAAAAGTAAAAACATCAACAAGTCGAGATTAATAGAATGAAATATAAATAATTGCTCATTACAAAGAGGATGAAATGATGAACATTTCCCTCGCTTACATTATGCAGGTCCGATTTTTAGTTTCTGAGATGTTATTCCATAAATATAAAAATTAATGCAATACATGAAAAGGAACAATAAATTACCTATGGACAGGATAACCTAATACTTTATATTGAATATAACTTCATATGTGTGTGTGTGTGTTTAAAGTTGTAGCAACCTCCTAATATAGTTCTGAATTTATAAAATTTGTAAAGATAAATTAAAAATATCACGATAGCTCAAGGGCATAATATCTTAGTTGTCATTCGCCTAAAATAACTCGTAATATAATCTAATCGTAAACTCATTTGGTTTCGGCATTATTTTATCCTTTTCGCCTTTCTAACACGGCGTCGCGTTAAGATACAGTTATCAATAATAGCTCATTACAAAGAGGATGAAATAGTACATTTCTCTCGCTAACGATATGCAGGTCTGATTGTTAGGCTTTGAGATATTTTAGTCTATGTGTAAAATTCTTCAATTAGTCGACTCCAGCCGACATGTGACGACTCAATCAATTGAAGTTTTTACTTCAAAAATACAATTGCACAGGAAACTCAGTACACAACAGAAATACACCTTTAAACATACTGAAATCATAATAATTGAATAAGAAAAACTATAAACTCAAATTATTAGAATAAATTTATGTTACTTAAAGTCTAGAAAAAGTATATATATTTTCCAATCAGATACAAATGGGATAAATAGTAGATATGCAAGTATCATTACTAAATTGAAATTTTAATTAAATAATATCTTTATTAGTTCAAGCAACAGCCTCTGATGGTAGAGAAGAGAAACAATAATATAACAATATTTAACCTCCTAACTACATAATCCAATAAAGGCTATAATCCCATTGAGAGCTAAACGACCAACATGTGCTAACATATTGAACATCATTATTATAGTAAGTAATTTAGAATTCATGAAGGGCCATTATATAAATGACCTTGCCTTATTGCTTGTAATATTCAAGGATGGAATATTTTATTTCACTTTGACGACACAGCAATTCTTTCTTCCAACCAAAAATCCTACTATCTCATCAATTGCCCTTCAAAACCACCTCTGCGATCTTCAAAACTGGTTCGAAAAATGTAAAATTAAAATTAACTGCATTCAAATCCACACACAAGACTTTCTCACTTAGAAAAGCCTCATGTCCATCCATAATCATTGACAATAACCCATTGCTTACAAAAACTGTGTACGGCGGTACCTCGGAATATACTTAGACAAAAGACTTACTTGGAAAATACATACTAAATTAAAATTACGAGAACTGACTAGACGATATAACCAACTCTCACATCTTCTGGACTACAGATCCTCACTTAACTTTCGAAACAAGCTACTGATCTACACCACCATACTGAGACCAATTTGGACATACGCAGCAGAATTTTTGGGTTCAACAAAATAGACACACATAAATAAAATACAAACAAAACAATAAAAAATACTACGAAAAACTGTCAACGCACCTTGGTGCATTTCGAATAACACTATACACAACGACTTGAATATCCCAACAGTAAAATCCTACATCCACAACAAATACAGTTAATTTAATTCTTCAACTCTAAATCAGATCAATCCATTAGTCTATTCTATTTCTTGCTCCCTGTTACCTGATCGACGCAGAATGAAAAGCAAATGGCCAAGGGACCTTCTCCTACATTAAGAACAGGGGGGAGCAAAAACAAAACAATAATCAAGCAAATTTCATAAAATGTCAAAATAAATAAAATAACAAAAATAAAATGTAAATTTAAATTATTGACACGATCCCATTACAGATATAATTTACATAATCTTGGATTAAAAAAAAAAGACGAACGTCGAGATCACATTATTACATCATCACATTGTCACGTGTAGTTTTAGCATGGAAGTAATTATTAATTGAGTCTTACAGACAGATTTTGTACTTGGTGTTCCTGAACATAAAGGCAGCATTCGATTCTTTCCCTAGAGAAGAAATATATTCAGCTTTAGTGACTAAAAATGTTCCCACAGAATTAATAAGTGCCATGAAATCTACCTACTCTAAAGGATCAGTTAAAATTAACGGTGGAATGTTCATAGCCTTCACCATGAGAAGGGGTATTAGTCAGGGTGAAAGCCTAAGTCTTCTCCTTTTCATAATAGTTATGGATGAAATATTGAGAATATGCAAGAGGAGGACAACACGGATGGTCATTGGAAGGTGAACATGAGGACAATCCTAGCTCGAGTCATGGTTTTCGCAGATGATATTGTTCTCATTGCCGATTCCAAAGAAAATCTACAGCAGGCATTTACTGAGTGGTAGGCTGAGCTAGAAAGAAAGGGCATTACAGTAAATGTTAGAAAGAGCAAGGCGATGCACATTGGTCGTTATGAGGAGGAAGTTTGGAGATAGCGCATGAGTACTCTTATCTTGGAGAAGTGCTCAGCAGTAACGGGAAATGGACCAAGAGCTCTCACACAAAGAAAGCTAATAGCATATACTACCAGCTATGCAGCACAGTGGTGGGGGAAAGGGAATTGGAAAAAAGTATAATATTTCAAATCTTTTAGTCCACATACTTACTTACAGTTATTTATAGAAATGAGAGCTGGGTCCCGCTGGACAAGCACAGTAGTAGAGCTATTGCTGCAGAAATAAAGTACTTTCGGAAAATAGCAGACAAAACAAGAAGGAATAGAGTTAGGAATGAAAGGATACGAGAAGATCTGAGAGTGCCTTTGAGGGAAACAGTCGAAAAGAGGCAGTTGGGATGGTTTGGTTATCCATGTAGAAAGCCGTCCTCGAGGAAGAGCTAGATTGCTATGGATGGACCATATGTTCAGGATTGGTGATTCTAAATAACATGATAACATCTGATTGGATTGTGATCACCTGTTGAAATAGAAGGGATTTGAATACAACAACTTTCATTACAGGTTAGTCTCACATTTTTCGGTAACCTTCAAATCCCGTTTTATCAAATAATTAACATCATCCAGAAACTTCTTAAAGAGCTTCAACTCATCGTAACCTAAAATATTTTATTTAAGTAAATTCTCGAAATTGGGCGTTTTCAATCTAGAAACCGGCAAACTTTGTCTATTTATTTATTTGCTAAAAACTCGTAAATACCCATTTGAATCGTAAGATAATTTGAGTACAAAATCGATAAAAAGGTGGTCTACAAAATAATTACTATATAACTTTGTTATTTTGACAATTTGAGGGTGAGGGTCACGCTAAACGGCCCCCAATAATTTTTTAAGCCACCTTTCTTTTTTTCATTTTTGTAATGCAATCTTGCTATTAAAGCGGATAGCAAATAGATATTTATAAGTTTTTAGTATTTTTTTTTTTTAACTTTCTTTATTGAATATTAATACATTCTGCCACATTGAAGGGCATTAATATTAAGGCTACATGATTCATTCATACAATATGTACATACAATTAATATCAATAATAAAGAAAAAGAAATATAAGAAAAAATAAAATAAGTAAATTAGTAGTGAAATAATAGATAAAAGCTAGATGAAATTAAAGTAAATAATTCACATTCACACCTATGTACAATATTTACATTCTCCCAGGGGACTCTGAGTCATGCCTTATTCCCCGACGTGGAAGCCAAGGCAGGACTCCAAGAGATCCCAGTGCTTCTCTCTCAGCCGCGTCACTGAAGTAGCTAATTAAGTATACAAAGTTTGCCGATCTCCGGATTGAAATCACTCCAAATTCTAGAATTTTTGTAAATATAATATTTGTAGGTTACGATGAGAAGAAGCTATTTACAAAGTTTCAAGTTTATGTTAATAATTCGAAAAAAAAAATGTCTGTACCATAATATTTGAGCTTGTACTCGTGTGTATGAAAAAAAAAATCTGATTTTAACAAGACAACTTAAGATAACAATTTTATTCCTTTAAATAGTATATTTATCGTAACTTCACATGATAACAATAATCATCCTATACATGTTGGTAGCCCTTATCTATAATCATCAGAAGACTCCGACATCCTGTAGGCTATGATGAATCCTCCGATGAATCCAGGTACGACGAAGATATTCCTGTCGTAGAAGGCCATCATTTCTTCCAGATAATATCCGAAGCAATCTATCTCGGGTTTGATCCTGCAAAGGCTGCAAGGATTCGTCCTGTTCCTGATGTACCCGGCCAATCTTATCGCGAACAAGGCGACTCCAACGGCCACTCCCCAACCTTTACCCCATTCCTTGGCCAAGTATCCAGACAGGACACCCGCCGCTGATCCTATTATAAGCTGGGTCTGTTTCGTTGTCGATTCCATCGTGCATAACATTTCGGCTCGCGCGTTTACCCAACAATTTCTTTCCTCTTCTTCCTTAATCTTGATTTCTCTTTCCCTCTTTATTGCTATAGCAGCAGTCTTAGGACACGCACTGACTGATAAGGAAGGTTGAAAGTGTGAAAAATAGGAGCAAGTTGCCATCATTTGAATTATAATAGTCAAACAAAATTATGAACTAACCTATTACTTCATTAGTATTACTAGATTGCGGTAAACAATGATTCATTCAAATTTATCGTAGACTATTTTTAGGTTAGTATACTAATATATCTTTTTGAATAATGTATTGTCATTATATCAAGGAGACACAATTAAGTAACCTATATAATTCAAAATTATTATAACGAAAGATCAGAGTACTTACTATTCAACCTGCGAAAACGATTCTCTCATATTCTCCTTTCGTAGTTTAGTATTATTTACAATATAAAAAATTGAAACTATTTATAGCGATTACGTTTCTATAACAGCTGGTTTGATTAAGAATACAATCAACCTTAAAGTACTACCGGCATAAAAAAAAAACTAGGTCGTTGTTAATGATTTACTACATTATACGATATCATTACTGTCCAATATTAAAAATTCTACTTCACATGAACGCAAGTTTCCTACATCCCAGAAAATCCTCTTGTGCTTTATCACTTCACGCATAGCATCGGGACCTGCATTATAAAAGATATTAAATAAGTACGACCCGCAAGTTGAAGAACTGGACATGATTGAAGCTAATGCAGACTACAAGATGGAGGAGAGTTGAAGGTTTATATACGATACCTGGTTCCGCAGGAGAACAAGATGGTGAACTTAAGTCTCTACATTTACTTTTTTACGGTTATCCTTTTCCTAACATTTTCAACATACGAGAGGGATTCTATAGAGGTGCGACTAAACCTATGTGATTTACTCCGTGGTGCTGCTGGACTCAACAATGCCAAAATGTAGACATGTATATGTTGCTTGTAATTAGGGGGCGGAGTGGCCGAATGGGCTAAAGCGTGTGCACAGCACAGTTCGTGTCCCGATGCCAGAGGAATTTTAAATTCCTCTCCCTCACCTTCCGGCCCGGGAAAATCCCGTATAGCCTAAACGGCGAGGTAGAGAAGAAAAAAAAAAAAATATATATATATATATATATATATATATATATATATATATATATGTTGCTTGTAATTCTGTTTATTTTTTCAAGATCATAATACAAGATTAGGATTAGCTGTAATAGCCTAAGCTTCTCTTTTATTTTTTTTGGGGAAAATGAATTAAATTGACCAGTCAGATTTACCATGTGTAACGTTTGGATAAAGTCGGCTGGAGTATTTTTAAGGTTGATTGAAGTATATTTGCGTATGTATTAAAATATCTCAAGAACTAAAAATCGGACCTGCATATTGTTAGCGAGGAAATTGTTCAACATTTCATTCCCTTTATAATGAGCTATTATTTATAATTTATATTTCATAATATTAATCTTGCCTTATCGAGGTTTTCACTTCTATCGTGTGGCCTAAAGCCTTATTTGGCCTTTTTTATTTATTTTTTCAATACAAAACTTCTCCTTAAAATTGTCCTTATAAGATCGGTTATGGCATACGTGTATGAAACTTGGACATTGATGAACGTCAATGAGATAAAAATGTCGAATTTCGGAAAAGAAGGTCCTTCGATATTTGGCCCAATGAAGGAGAATGATCATCGGAGAATTCGACGTAATCAAGAACTAGCCAACTTATACAAGTTGTCGGATTTTATGAAATACATCCGAATAGCAAGGCTGAGATGGATGGGCAACGTTGTACTAATGAACGAAACCTAAACTACGCGAAAGCTGCTCAGCATGGTGCTCTGGGTGGTAAAAAAAAGTGGGTAGACCGAAGTTGAGATGGTTCGATGGAGTAAGCTGAAATCCTTGGAATGAGGAAGATGAGGAGATGCATTAATGGATTGTCGAGCTTGGGATTATGATAGAGATATTTTTGTTGGAATAATTTTATATTTTCAATATTATAAATATTATGTTTACCATTATTATAATCTACATATGTTTCCAGACACACTAAATTTCGCATTCCATGATCAATTCAATTTGATTGATCAGTCGAACTCACGGCTTTTTGACTATGACATTCATAATGATATAAATATATAAATGATATAAACTTATATAATCATTGAAACTCAAGCTTATATCTATACGATTAAACTAATAAAAATACTCTCGGTAAAATATAAATAAATTTATTATTATTGCCTAACCTAAATGGGGCTGAGGAGTAGTCCAAGATTTCATGATCACGCTATAAATGAGATTCTGAGAATATCCTAAAGGGGACCCTACACGGTCAATCGAAATTGCACTAATGACGTTCCGAATTGTCGTGTAAGGTAGTGAATGAAGTACTGATGGTGGTGCGCTGCGGATTTCCGAACATCCGGAAATCAAAGGTTCATTCACGATAAGTGGAGGGGAGACTGAGGTAAAAGTAGTGCGGAGACTAACCATACTGCTGGATAGGTTAGGTTACCTAGGCCTCACAACCATTATAAATTTCTGATTTTCATTATATGTAAATAGTTAAATAATTTTTCATATCCCTTGTTTATAATTTTAAACCATCTTCAACTATTTCTTTTAAATAGTCAAATGGGCAACAAATTAAAAAAAAAATGAGGAAACTTCACAATTTACTTTAGGTAAAAAAAAAACTTTAACGTTGTGTATATTTATCAGTTCTTTTCCCATTTTCTTCAACAAATTTATTATTTTCGCAATACCTTTCCTTAATTTTTGTAAGTAGTAGACTTATATTTTACTAACTTTTGTCAAAACGATTTTCTATGAGACTAACCTTACTACTAGATAGATTAGTTTACCTAGGTCTCGTTATTAAGTAAATAATTTCGTAAAAGTAAAACGTTGTTTATATCCCTAGTCTATATTATTATTAACCATTTTCAACTATTTTTTCTTTAAATAGTCAAGTAGGCAATAAATTAGAGAGAAAAAAAAGTGGGAACTTCACATAAGTAATGATCAGTAATGATTGAACGTGTAAGGGTCTTCATGATCAAAGCGATAGCGGGCAATCTTGGAACTTCTTGTGACGTTTATTCATGAATTACCGTGTAGGATCTGCTTAACAATGAAAACGTGTTCACAGTATAACCTCCCTTTATCTAGATCACCATTAACGACTTTAGCAAACTCTCAGCTGGTCCTTTTCAGTTAAAATCAGGACGTTCATTAGCTTTGATTACATTACTGCTTACCAGTTTTACTCCACTTTGACAAGTGAGCTCATGATTTTTTGATCAGACTATGACGGGAATTCAGATCAACCAAAACGTCTGGTTCCCACGACATTGACTGAAAATAACCCGTTGAGGATTTGTTTATTCCTTTTGAACGAGTAAGAGTCGAAAACAACATAAGAGTTAAAGACTAATCACAAATTTTAACTAAAAAGGATCTTTTTGAAAAGGAAAAGGAAGGTTAAGGAAGTTGTATTGCGCGACATAAATCTATTTATTTATTGAGTATTACTACAATCTGTCACTTGGAAATTAGTTATAGTGAGGTAAGATAACGTTCACACTATATGTACAAAACATATAAAATAAATAGAAGCAAAATAACCGCCACCTACGCTCATGATACAACAATTTTAACAAAACACAATAACCCCAGACTAGCCTTAATAAATTTACAAAATCATTTATTGACTTTACGAAATTGGTACTCACTTTGGAAAATAAAATTAAATCATGACAAGTCACAATATATATATATATATATTACACTTCGACGAGAAACGTGCCCACCAGTTTATATATGAGGAAACCAAATTCCTCAGACAGACACAGTACGTTAACTGGGACTAATATTCGACAGAAGGATGACCTGGGGCCCAAACGTCCAAATGAAACGGCAGAACTTAAACAAGCGACTGAAAATACTGCACTCACTTTTTAATAAATCAAAATTAAAGTTCGACAAAAACTAAATACATACACTTACCTACTCAACACCTCTCAGATTTACGGTTCGGTAAATAAGACGCACTTACAAAAACTACAGTCATTTGAATCCAAAATTTTACGGCTTACAACAGGAGCTCCCTGGTACGTAATCAACAAAACTTTGCATAACTACTTATGACAACTAACTATAAACCTACACACACGTACTCTCTACTCTCGTTTTCATCTTAAGCTACACGGACACAAACGTACTTATAAACGACATGGCTACGACTGACATGCCCATCAGGAGGCAGACTAAAAAGGAGCTGGATGAGAGATCTCCTCACCTAAATCAAGGAAGTAAATCATGACCAAGAAGAGGTGCTGCTGGGTACTATCATTCCTCATGCCTGTAATGCCAACCTCATCATGGCAACACATCTGGAGATTGTCATTACCATGACAGGTGCGGATGAACAGTTAAAGATAAAAAAATAACAATAAATAATAATAAAAAAATATGTACAATAACTAAAATAAAATAACCTAAAAATAAGAAAATTAAAACTGAGCGAAAACACATGCGTACCTATGTACACTATTTACAATCAGGCAAGGGAACTCCGAGGAAGGCTTGTCCTTTCTACTATAGAGGGAAAAGTTGGATTCCAGGAGAACTCTGTCCTACTCTTTCAACCGCATCAATGGTACTAAAGCCAGCGGAGATTGATCGAGAGCACTTTAGCCACACACACTCATGTATTGAGTGCAGAATCTGGCCATTGCCAGAACTCCAATAAGTACAATCTACAAAAGAACATCACTGCAGTTTCAACCTTCTTGGACGATCATAGGGATGGGTGGTGCTCGATAGGGATTGTGCAAGAGGGTTTGGATGATACGTAAGGTTCTGGTGAAATATGGAGAATTTTTCTGAGATACGCTCTGGGACAAATGGGATGTTGTGGTCATGATGTAGGCGACATCAATAAAAATAATCATAGCCGTGAACATGTTTATACTGTGATCATGAGATCTTGTGCCGACCCATCAATGAGTAGCATTACTTGTAAAATAATTTACATAAGATGTAGTTCGTTGCGGTGGAATTGGAGAGGAGAGCACTGTTGAATAAGACAATTTTAAAACACAATTTTATTCCTTTTAATGCTATGAATACTAAAGACACCTCGAAAATCACATTTGTGGACTTCATTCGCCTCAAAACTCTTGATTTATCTCATATTTAATCATATTAAGGCAACGGTGCATAGTATGCACTAACGAACCCTGCAAAGTATCCAGCAGCCACGAGGATGTTCCTGTTCAAGAAGACGACGGTTTCGTCTAAGATCTGTTCGATTAAGTCCATCTTCTGAGGGAGGAAACAGAGGATACAAGAATCCGGTCTGTTCTTAATCTGCTCGGCCAATCTAATTGCCAAGACAACACTCCCGATAGCGACAGCCAATCCTTTTTCGACTCTAGCCAGGAATCCGGACACGATTCCTGTTGCAGATCCTATAATAAGCTGACCATGTACCGTTGTCGACTGCAGTGTGCGCATCAGTTCCGCGAACGTATCTCTCGAGCAATACTCATTCTCTACATGCGCCCTCACTTCTTGAGCCCTCATTACTGCCGCCGTTGCCGGCTTAGAACACGCACTGATTGAGAAGGTGGCCATCGTTATTCAATTTGCTTTCGAATACAATTTACGTCATAATGGGCATTTAAAAAGCAAAAATATAACACATCACTGTTTTTTCGAACAATTAGAGACAGATAACTAATTTTGCACAACCTTACAAGCTAACCTATATAGTTGAGTAATGTTAATTAGGGAATGATTCGTTCAAATTTCAAGATCATAGAAGTTAAATCTTCATGAAAAAAAAAAATCTATATGAATAAAATAAGGAGTTTGTCTGTACATTGAATAGAACCAATCTGTTTTATGATATCTTTCCGTTTCATACATTGAAGACACCAAATCCACTTTAAAAAAAAAATTCTGTCCGTATGTCCGCATTGCAACGAAATTTTGTTAGGGGTAAGCTCAGCAATGGCTTATTGTAAAGTTTTGAAATTTTAACATCATATTAAAGGTTTGTTTGACTTAAAACATAAGCTTTAAATTAAAAAAAAAATATTGAGTATAACCAAAGTTATGAATTCTTGAGTAATTTGTCTAGAGATCTCGGTTAATGTTGATAATAATAAACGTATGTTTATAGATTAAAGAACATCTATATAAATAAAATAAAGGTTTTGTCTGTATATTGGATAGAATCAACCCGTTCATGATATCTTTTCTTTTTATATTTTACAGACACCAAATCCACTTAAAATTTTTTTTTGTCGGTCTAGATGTCCGCATTGTCCAAAGAAATTTAGTCAAGTTCGGAAATAGCTAATGACAGGCTTTTGCAATTTTGACATTTAAGTAATGAAAACAGTTATAAAGAAAAAAAAAATGTTTTTGGGCGTTACTAGCTAAGTTTATATTATATGGTAATATTTTGTGCAAACTTTTGAAAGGTAATTAAATTACCTACATAACAAAACAATCATCGGAATCGAAACAGTATTAGCGATGACTTTGCGTATTTCAGAGTCCCATGAAAAAAAACACGTTTTAGTCTTTTTTTTTTTTGAAAAGTAATGAAATTATATAAAAATCGTTCGTTTCGAACAAAAATTAAAAATCATTTCATTCCATTTACCCTTTTCTTTGCGCAGTAATACTCTGAGCAAAATGACGTTTCGAAATCACATTCCTATAATTAATATTAAGAAAACTGACAATCGAACCTCAATGATATCTAATACATAGTAGGGCTTGCTTGACTTAGAACATATGCTTTAAATGAGAACAAAATATTGAGTAGAACCAAAGTTATGAATTCTTGAGTAATTTGTTTAGAGATCCCGGTTAGGCACTCTATCGCGAGCCATAACTACAATTTTTACTACTCAACCGATGTAAAAAATTATCACAACTTAACGGGAAAAATCCGGAATACCGAACATCTGTAACGCGTTGTCATACAAAACGGGTAAAACACACTCATTTTCAAATTTGTCCGATCTTCCCGTTCAAGGTGTCTCTCAATCCAACTTCCCGAGCCTAATAAATGTTGTCGTATACATTTTTAGAATTGACCAAACGGATTAGCCGGAAATCAGGAAAAAAAAATCCAAAAATTTCAAACCGCTCGCCACAATATTCAGATCAAGTTCTAATTTTACACGGATGCAGGTGACTCAATGTCCAATGTTATTTTGGTTATTTTTCCAGCGATGAACACAGCAGAGTTTAAAGAAGTGGAGAGACTACAACTCTTTTTGATTAATTAATCGACTCCATAGTCTCCTCGCTTCATCATAAATGAAAATTAAACACTTAACAAATTTTAATGGATCTGTGATGTGGTCGGTTTAGTTGTGCAGTACCTAAACAAATAGCCGAATAATAATGTTTTTGTTATGACTATTTCGAAACCTTGACTTCCATAAGCCCCGCCATAAAAAAATTCAAACTCTTTTCCCTCCCGACCCAATTTTATGAAATCGAATTTGGACCCTTCTCCCCATAATACAAAATCCATCTAAAAAAAAAATTCTAAAATTTTAACTATACACCAATAGTTCACCAGCTAGTATAAATAAAAAGAGTAAATTTGAGCAGCAATAGAATTCAAGTGGCAAAATTAACCTAAATAATTATTAAAATCCAAGGAATTTTACCATGATTCATATAAATTTATTTTAATTTTCCCTATTACATTGAACATACCAGTTTCTTTATTGCAGGCATTTAGAGAACAGGAGTAGGATTTTAGTTGTTTTTCTTATAGGCATTGATGAAAGAAATGGAAACCATTATGGTAAGCGCAGCAGTGATCAACATAGCTAAAGACATTTTTGTTCCTTTTGGCTTATACCGTCGTAATTATTATAGTTATAAACTTCTCCGTTAGATATCTAGAATCTCTAGAGTCTCCTTTTTACTTTCTTGCCTCTACTAAGTAAGGAAAGTATTGCGATCGGGTCAAATTTCCGATATGCGGTTTTCGACGGATCTGTACGTTTCAGATTATCGCGAAAACTAGTAGACCGCTTTTGTTGTTGTCTTTTGTAGGTTTTTTAATACTAATGCATGCGACACAAAAATAATTAACGTGTTTTCAATTTTCAATTTTTCGTCTTCTAAATCCCCCCCCCCCAAATTAATGAAAACAGCTATAAAGAAAAGAAAAAGGTTTTGGGAACATTCCTTGCTAAATATATAATTATATGGTAATATTTTGTGCAAACTTTTGAAAGGTAATTAAATTATATACAAATTTTTGCTTAGGACAACAATTAGAAAGCATTTTATTCCAATTTTGCCTTTTCTTTGCGCAGTAACACTCGGAGTAAAATCACGTTTCGAAATCACATTTCCGTAATTAATATTAAGAAAACTGACAATGGAACCTCAATGTTATTGTCAAATACATCTATACTTTATTTTTTCGTTTGCATTACATATCTTGTAGCTCTTTTGCCGCTTTTACAAGATTACTCCATCTCTGCCTTTCTTGGGCTATTTCTTTCCAGTTATGTGAACGCAGTTCTATTATATCTTTGTTAGTTCTATCTACCCATCTACTTTTTGGCCTTCTATGTAGTCTTTTGCCTTCTATTGAGGGATTCATTGAGACTTCTACATCGATTTTTATGAGCAGGATACCCCGCCTATTTTAACTTCCATGCCTTTATATCATGGGATATTGGTTGACCAGTTTCTGTAAGCAGTTCTTTATTGGTCATTGTTCTATGTGTGTTAGTACTATGATCCCAGATCGCTCCATTTATCGTGCGAAAGATTTTTATCTCATATCTTTCAAATCTTTTTTCTAGGGTGTTGGATATTGTTCACATTTCACAAGCATCAGAACTGGCTTTATCATAGTATTGTACACCGTTAATTTATCTCGGGATTTCAATAGCTTTGAAAAGTAGAAGAAAGCCGTAATAACTCTAGTTTTGCGCTGCTCTATTTCTGATCGTTGGTCGTTCATTTAGCTTATTGTGGAGCTGAAGTTTTGACTCGGGAATGATCTTTACTAATAATTGAAATCTATTTTTCTTCAGAAAGTTGATATTTTATTTTAAGCCTAATTGCTGAATTACGAAATGCTAAATGGTCAAATAAACTAAGAGCGACCCATGATTCTTCTAATTTGGAAATACAACACTATTATTTCACACAAAAATTGCTTACTTATACGTAGATTAAACTAGAATGAATAACTATCTCTAATGTAAGAAGTCTGGGATATACTAGTCTTAATATTGTTTCTCTACATCTTTTTTTTTATTTCCTTTTTTTAAATTTATTTTAATGAAATTTACAACTGCATTACATGAAAAATACAACAAGTAAATGTGACATTGGTAACATGATATCTACAACATAAAGAGAAACTACCCATTGGTAAAACTCAAATTAAAGTTGTATATTAGAAGGTCCCGAGGCCATCTTCTTTTCAGACGCCTCGAAGGGTTATCAGGGATCGAGGAGGAAGCAAGGTTTGAAACGAGAGAGTTCGGATGGTTCTGCAGTTTGTTATGGAAGGGTTGGGCCAAATCGGAAACATATGGAACATTAAGGTATTTATGGATGATTTTATTTGTGACGAAGTAAGGAGCGTTGAGGATTTTACGAAGGATTGGATACGAGAGGAATTCGATGGTTTAGTGGACCCCCCAAGCTCAATTCCGTAATTCCAAATAGGTCTTATTATTGTCATATATATAAGTCGTTTTTAATTGATTGAAAGCTTAGAGCGTTTGTCTAGTAAGTGCTGCAGTAGTCGAAAACGTCAGGCGGTTTCTAGTCGTTTCAGTCTGGTATGGGGATTCTCTACATCTTAAAGCTTGATTTCATTGATACTTCCACCAAACCCTATTAATACATGACATAGACAATATTATTCAATTATTGATGAGTAATATTCAGTAATCACTAAATTAGCGAAAACAAATATTTGCTATTTTATACTGCCTTTTCTTGATCTTACGATTAACAATGCCCTACTTAATGGCCTGGACTACAAAGTCAGAATCGATTAAGGATCTAATTACTTCGATGATAATCGATTAATCATTCTAATTATCGAGGCTTCGGAATGGGCAGTAATCGACTGTTGTTGGGCGCGGCAGTCCAGCTGATTAGTTGAAATGTAGCTTCAAGATGTGTTTCATTAGCTCGGGGTTCTAGATGAGTCTTTCTTAACAATGATTTACGATCAGAAGACTCTCGTTCACTCGTTCAGAGATAGTTTGATGGCATTCGTTTCATTAGAGTGATTGGTTAGCTCATCCCCTCCCACCATTTACTGCAATGCTATCGTTACGATCGGTAAGCTTACAGTAATCATTAAATAGATTTTTATAAATATTGCAAACGATCGATTTCAATAAATATTGTTATGCATATTTGAGGAAATTGCAGTGCAGTTATTGACTACGTAGTATTTGTCGTTTTATTTTCCGTTGGTTTAGTTTTTAAATTATTTTAACCCACTGACTATTGGTCAATAATTTTTCCCACTCTAATTTTTAGTTTGAATTGGACAACTGTATTGAAAAATATGTAGTGCGAGCATCACAACTTTCTGTGTTGTGATGTTACAAGTTTATTTTTAATCTCTTACAAAGTTCTTTTTTGACGGAACTGAACCATAAACTCTACAGTCACTAGCGGATCTAGGATTTAATTTTGGGGGCTTCAGCCAGAAAGATTTTTTTTTCTAACAATAATTCATTAGAAAAAAAAAGAAAGAAATCAACTATCTAAATGAAATGGTGTTTAAGTGGTTCTTGAAGTCCTATTATATGTAATTACACGAATACTTTAAGAGATAGTTTTTAATATTTTTCCTGTAAATCATTGTTATATTTTACCATTTTGGGAAGGGCTTCAGCCCGAAATCCCCCCCTCCCTCCGTGAATCTGCCTGTGCCTACAGTTAACCTAGAACTCATAAAGACCTTTAAAATAACATAAAATATATTTATTATATCGACAGGCAGAAATGAAAATCATGTAAATCCATTTGTATTTTTGAACCAGACAATCTAATTTGTGTATGGATAAAGATTGTTCTACGTAGTAAAACGTATATGAGCTAAATCTGAATAACATTTTACATCTTCTTAAACTTTTTTTTTTACGTTGTTAAATTTAATAAACCCTCCGTAGCTTCTGAAAAGAAGATGGCTTCGAGATCTCTTTTTGCAAATATATTTTTAGAGTGCTACCAGTGGGTAGTTTCTCAACAAGTGGTTTCATTTTATTATATTCTTATATTCACATTTACTGAATACATTTTTATTTGTAATTCAGTTGTAAATATCATTAAAAAATATTTAAAAATTTAATAAAATGTAATTACAAGGTTTTCTTTGCTTACCATCGATAGGTCAAAAGTTGTCACATTAATAGTAAGTAGATAATGTTTTGATTCTACAGACACAAAAAATCAGAAACAACATCATAGTATATATTTGAAGATTTTTTAATTTTATTGTTGCTCAGTAACCTTCAAAACATAGGAATGGTGAGTTATAAAATGTTTTCCATACATTTGCATTTGAACTTCGATTAGGGTCGAGATAATTCTATAGAGTTTTATTTAACAATATTATTACAGTTTTAATTATAGCTTGATTATTATAACTATAATATTACTTGTCAAAAGAAGTCTTTTATTCTTCCATTAAGCTTGGAAACATACTCCTTCAACAGGCACATCATGAACTGAAAATATTCAAAGAGAAAATTAATTTAATGTTCATTTATAACAAACGAAACAAATTCTACAGCATTGAATTGAATATTTAAAAATTACTTCTCAATTTAAAGTTTAAGTACATTTATATTTTGTTGTATTGAAAAAGATGTTACTCTCATCAGTCAATTACCTACATTTTTATTTTACCTATACTAATATTGTTTTAATATCAAACATAATGATTTTATTTACGTTCTGAAATTATCTTTTTTTAATAATAATTAGTCTTATAGACCCTGTAATGAACAATGTTTAGCTAATTTTAAAATTAATTTTTATATAATGATGAATAAATTGTATACTGTAGGAAATATGAATGGGAAGTTGGTTGTGAGAGAAGGAGGGTTAGGGAAGAGAGTTGCTGTCAGTGAGAAAACACTAATAAAAATATAAGATTTTTAGTTTATTTTGTGCCGACGTTTCAGCCTAAGTAGTTGAGGATCAACTATCAGGGCTGAGAAAAGAAAAGATAACAAAAAAAATTAAACTATTGTAAAAGTATATGATATTAAAATATATGTTATCTGCAAATACATAGATTTTAAGAAATAAATTCAAATCAAAATATGTGAGTATAACATGTAATAGTAAGGTTTGCAAATATAAGTAAGCTATAATGAAAAATAATAAAGTTACTTTGCTAACTTTCACTTTATTATTTTTCATTATAGCTTACTTATACTTTCAAACCTTACCGTTATAATAATTATATATTTTAAGAAAAGAAACAAAACTGTCATGAATTTCCTTCAAGGTATTTTTATTGGGTTAGCCGATGTTTCGACCCAAACATGTGGTTTATCCTCAGGGCTATCGTTAGGAAGTCGAGACAAGAACTCAAGTTTCTCAAGTGAGATCTTGTCTCGACTTCCAAACAATAACCCTGAGAATGACACACATGCTTATTTCGAAACGTCGCCAGCCATTTTTGTTTCAACCAATATGATCTAATTATGTTTATATTATAAATTCTATACATACATAAAATCCCCCACTTCAAACTTGACACTGCGTTTTAAATTGATATATACAGGAATCTAAATACTTCTTTTGATATTATCACACAAAGTTGAACTAAAAGAAAATATAGATATTTCTATGTTTTTTCACGATTTGAAAATACCAAAGCTATCTATAAAAAGATTTATATTTATACAATCAATATGAACATTAGAAACAAATATTTCCTACAAGTAAATATATTTTTTTAATGTAAAATCATTAAATACTTTTTTGAGTGAAAAATTTAGCATAACTTTCTTACCGTTTATTTTTGCATCTATATTTTCTTTTCACAATCTTCATCAAATATTCTCTCGAACAGTTTTTTTCTGCAACAATTAATGACATAATTCATCACATTTAATATTTTCAAAAAATAAACATTGACTCTCTTTTTTATATATTCAACTCTTTTACCATATGTTTTAAATTACAGATGGAAATTACAATTAATTTAAAAAAAAAGGTTTTTATATAATTAAAATCTGAAAACTGTCTCAAAACTAATACTACTATAAGAATAGAAAAACATATATGTTTACTTTAAAAAAATCGATCCTGTAAACAATTTTGTATCATATTAAAACATTTTAATACACTTTTTTTTTTAAATATAGTTTACTTGCATATAGTTGTTTATTTCTAAAGTAAACCACAAACTATAATTTTTTTTCATGTTTAATATAAACAGAATAAAAATAAAAATTTGTAGCTTAAGATCGTTTGTACTAACTGTAGCGATATATATTGTTTATGAACATTAACTAACCTTTTTGCTGTGGATTGAGGAAATCACTCTTTCGTTTTAAAAGCTAACAACTCTTAGAATCCTGATTTTACATCCTCCACCTATTTTAATAAATATATAAATAACTCGTTTCGATCAGTGTAGCAAAGTTCAAAAAACAAATTTTATTATATGACGCTCTCAGTCGGTCATAAAATGTAATAGCATCCTTTTAATGGTGCCAGGCGTCCACTTTTCTATTTGGGTGATTCTCAGATCATGTAAAATTTTCAGAATAAAATTTTAATAATTTTGACTGTATTTAAATAAAATTCTCTAAATACCTACACCTTCTATTGCTCAGCTTTATCTGAGCAAATAACCAAGATCAAAAGTGCTTTTTGTTCAGTAAAGTAAGTAAAGCTAATAATTCGGTTGTGGGAGCGAAACGAGTTTTCAACTTGGTAATTTCGTCGTAAACCAACGACTTCCTGTCCTAAAGTTTCCTTTAACAATACTCCACTTATCCCTGTTGAGCAAATCCGATACCTAGGACTCCAACTGGACAAACGACTAACTTGGAATCCTCATACTAGACTGAAACGACAAGAAACCGCTCGACGTTTCCGATTACTTCAGCACTTACTAGACAAACGCTCTAAACTTCCCATTAATTACAAAAGACTCATATACTTGACTATAATAAGACCTATTTGGACTTACGGAGTTGAGCTAAGGGGCTCCACTAAACCATCGAATTCCTCTCGCATCCAATCCTTACAATCCAAAATCCTTCGTAAAATCCTCAATGCTCCTTACTTTGTCACTAATAAAATTATCCATAAAGATCCTAATGTTCCTTAAGTTTCAGATCTGGCCCAATCCAGATACCTATTCTTACATAATAATCTTCAGAATCATCCCCAACCCTCTCGTTTCTAACCTTGCTTCCTCTTCAATTCCTGATAACCCTCCGAGGCGTCTGAAAAGAAGATGGCCCCGTGATCTCCTAATATAGTCATATCATTAGAGTGCTACCATTGGGTAGTTACTCAGCAAGTGTATTCATGTCATTATATCTATTATGTCCAAATTTACTTGATGTATTTATGTAATACAGTTGTAAATGTCATTAAGATATTAAAAAAAAACTTGGTAATGACATTGTCACTATTTTATTCGGCCAAAACTGCTGTCCAACTAGTGTTGTAATTTTTGTTTTTTCAACTGACTTGCTACAACCCGTAGTCAAACGTGAATTATAATTAATGAAATAATTAGATACGCCCCGTGCTGGAAACTCTGGAGAGAAGACAGTCGAAGTGGTATGGCCATGTTTGCCAATTGGACCACCACAGACACCCAGTTGAAACCCTGGAGGTGAGGCCGATAGGGAGAAGACCGAGAGGGCGACCAAGAACCTCATACGTTACTCATCTGGAACTAATTGGAAGACGAAGAGGGAAGACCCTGGAAGAGATGAGGAACCTTGCCGGGAACAGGGATGCATGGAACTGATGACTGGAATCATCCTCACGCAGAGAGGTAAATGGGTGGAAGGGAAAGAAGAAGAAGCAATCGAACAAAAAATTCAAAAACTTAACCCCCCTCCTCAAAATATGAGGTTTTACTTTTCAGGATACGAAGAATTCGAAAAAGGAATTTTTTTTTTGTCCGTCCGCCGTCTGCGCATTTTCTCCGAAACTACTTGACAACTACGAGCGGAACTACGATTTTTCCTAATTTGGATTTAAAATCGGAGGTCACCCGAGGATGATCCTCCTTTATCACCATTGCTATCCGCCTTTTCCTTTCAAGATGGCGGACGAAAAATCTGCGTCGCTATATACTGTAGTGTATGTGAATGAATGTACCGATTTCAAAAAAAACTTTACTAAATTTTTCTTCTCGTTGTCCCTGAAATGTATTTATATAACATACTCCAAAGAAAAGAAGCTGGAAAAAAAGTTACGAGAGATGTTAAAAATAGATTTCGAATAACTCTAAAAAGTTACACTTTGTTGATAGTGTATAGTTACTTTAAAGTTTACGAAATTTCCTAAAAAAAAAAAAAAAAAATCGTTGTAATCGGACAATAAGGAGCAATGATATGGTCTCTAGATATTTTTTATATGTTATACTGCAAAGGTTGCATAGTTTGTTTTGGTTCTTGATTTCTGAATGTGTTACTGAAGTAATGTTATTTCGTTTTAGCTAATTACTATTAATTAAAACAAAAAATGTTTAAAATAATAATTGAAATCACCTTTTATTTCTTTTTCTTTGTCACATTAGATGTATAATTGTTTGGAAATAATAAACCATTGTGAGCTAATTTGCTGCGTATTTTTTTTTTTTTTTTTATGATATTTAAATAATACCAAAGGTTTCCCCTTCTTTTAGGAAATCTTTTTTAATAAGGGTTAAGTTTGTAATAATTAAGTTGAGGTTTATTAGAAAAAAATAGTGATTAAATTTGCGTTTGTAGTCCTAAAATCCACGTTCAAAATAAGTAAACCTGTTGATTGCTTCAATTACTTTCATAAAAACATTAGCATATGATCGTTTAGTTTGTCTTTTAAAAATGCGGATTAATTCCTATAATACAGACCTGTGTGAAAAACACAGTTTCATAAACGCTTTATATGAAAAATCATTATTTTTATACTTTTTCAATTTTTTAAAAAAAGTAAACAGTTTTTTAAGCAGTTATGTTTATTAATATACACCTCAGATTATGTAAAAAAAAAAAATAAAAGCTTTCCATTAATTAATTGTTTTAATTTTTGCTGAAAACACGGGTACTTTTAGGTAACAGGATACAAAATGGCATAATTTGTTTACACAACCTGAGATGAATCTCACGTTTTTGCACTGGAACTTAATGAATACAGAATTAAAGTTCATTAAATGATGAAGTTCTTATAAGTATCTGTAGCATAGTTAGATGATCATAAAAAAAAATCAGGAATAATTCATGATTTTTTTTAAAATGTAACTTAGCTTCGTTAGTCGCTCAAAAGTCATATTTAAACGGTTTCAATAATGACAAACTTTATCATATTTTAAATTAAATTTTTAATATTAAATTTTTTCTAGTAAACAGTGAAGCAATTTTTAATTGCCTTAATTAAAATTATTTCTTTAGCAGAACGATCCCGGAAAGAACAAGGAGCTTCCTCGAGAAACTAGGTGTTGATGTTGGGGAGCTAGCGATGTTGGCCGAAAATATTATTTTGAACTCCCTGCGGATCATCCACGATCATCTATATACTGATTGAGGACGTCTTGTATTAATTGTTTATTGGATTTTAAATTGGTCTATAATCGTCTTATCTTTTTGTCTACATTCGAGGAATTGCTCTGTTATATATGTGTTCGATGTTGTATTGAGTTCCTGGCCTTTGAGAATTTAAAAAAAAAAATTTTTGATCTTGGGAAATGTTTATAATGCTATGTCTATTGTTTAATATGGTTTATTGTTGGTAATTTGTAAGAGTATTGTTATGAAAGGGGAAAAGAAAGGAAGATATGTTATATATATGTATATTAAAAAATAGAAAAATATAATATAAAATTAATGTCCGTATGGATTGATAAGTATGCAGTGTACGAAGCAACCCTATGTAGTAGGCCAGCATTACTTTTATTAATAAAGTATTTCTCTCTTTCTTATGAACAAAAAATGCGAATCATAAAAACAAAATACAAAACCTGGATTTCTTACTTTTCTGTTCGAAATTGGCAAATTGTTTATATGAACTTTTGTTTAGCTCTTGAGGTCTGGTATTACTCATACAAACATTTTAATCTACTGTTTTAATCATAATTTAATCATAATGTTTTAAAATCACAAAATACTATTTTCTTGCTACGTACCCTTTCTTACATCTATTTTCTGACTGCATCAATATCTGTCTCTTGATCCCTCAGTCTTGGATACATATTATGCCCCTGCGAGTATTGTTTCGTCTTCTGTTTCATTCCCTTTTCTTTCAGAAAGAGACAGCTTTCTCCTTGTTTGATATATTCTTAATGAGGTGCTGAATTCCTATCGTGATAAATACTGAACTATAGTTGCTAATATTCACAGGTTATGTAACATCATATGTCAAAAAAAAAATTAACAAAGCCATGTGATTAAGCAATATAGGTGATGTGATAACTTGTAAATATCACTACTTTAATCACTGGTGTCCTGACTAGGCATTAGATCCATTTATTTTTCTAGAAATATATTTACAGTATGAGTAAACAAAAAGTCACTTTTAGATCCAGTTAAACTAAATAGAAACATCTGACTTGCAGGTGTGCTTTCCATCAATAATTTTAAACATGTGTTTGGATAAAACTTCACTTTTAAATTTGGTGCCAGATACTTTAAATATTAATATAAGACAGGATATTCTGCGAAATCCATTAACTTGCAATTATAATTTTAAAAAATAATCAGTTAAGAAAATGTTTAATTGATTACGTAAGGTATCGGGCATTTTTTATTTACATTTTTTTAAAACTTATTTATTGAAAAATATTACAATCTGTCTCTAGGGTATTTATAATAGAGTTCACAGATCACATTCACATTTTATTTAAATTATAGAATAAAGCATTTTATGATATACTCGAAACCAGATCTAGGTTTGGTGGCGTGAACAAAAGAGATAGAAAAACTTTTCATTGATATCATTCCGAAAATAACTCTAATACTAGAAATTCCCGAGACCATCTTCTTTTCAGATGCCTAGGTGGATTACAAGGAATCGAGGAGTAAGCAAGGTGATTCGGGATGGGCCTGAAGTTAATTATGGAAGAATAGCTCTCTAGATTTGGAAAATTCGATAACATATTGGACATTAAGACCATTATAAAGATTAGTTTGGGGCAAATTATGTAGAATCAAGAATTCACTGAAACTGGAGCTGGAAATCTGATAAAGTCAGTGAAGAGCTACTATTACCATTATAATTTTTTTATATATATTTTATTAGAGTAGTACACCTATTATACCCCTATATTATACCCGGACCAATACCCATTTTACAAATTTGATCAACTTGTATCATTTTTTATAAACACAAAATAAATTGAACGAAACCGCAGTTCGGAAAGATTTTAAATTTCTTTAAAAATCTATATTATACATCGCGCATTATTGTCCATTAAAATTACTTTATAATTATAATTATTCTTATTGTTAATTTGCAAACAGAATATATATTCAACTTGTCCAGCTTCATATAAGCCCAACAATAATTTGAATCTTTTATTTCCAATTTTTTCCATAGAATGTTATATTGTACTTCCTTTTCTATTTCATTATAATTATACTTTTATCAAAATAAAATATAAATAATATTACATATAATATAATATTTAATATTATATAATCATATTGTATTCAAGGGGAAAAGTCTAGATTGGAAAATAACAGCTGTCACCTAGATAAAATCAAGCTACCATCTCCAGATGAATACTGTTCGCCGTACAAGTTTTTAATCTAAAATTTTTATTTTGTATCAGGAGAGTAGAAGGTAACAGGAGCTCAACTCATACTCAATTGAATATACAGCTATTTACATCAATTTTTGGAAGTTTAGTAGATGTCTGGCTCTCTTAAATATAGACGTATCCTTTTATATCAATAAATTTCTTATCAAACTATATTGATATTTTGTTTGGTTAAATAGTATCCACAAAGCAAAGATTATAGACTTCTTCATCTTCTTCAACCATAATTTTCTGAAAGCTAGATTCCCTTTGATAAATCATGTCAGTGGTATTAATATGAAAAGGAGTTAGTCGGGCGTGCGTTCAAATAAATAATAAATTAAAATATATTGATTATTTTAATTTTTGCTGACGTTTCGACCCACTTTGCAGGTCGTATTCAGGGCGTAGGATGTAGCACTGCAGGAGGCAGTTGAAACACTGTATTAATAGTTCGTCATAGTGTCCATTTCCACCATTCGATCTACTATGTGGTTATAGCCAGTAACTCTTAAATAAAATTTTAATGCACTCTAGAAATCAACTATCGAATAATCATAACGAATACGTTTCTTTCTTTACTTATTACATTGTGCCAACATTTATTTTCCAAAAATTTTTTTTCGGCACTTCTGAATGAAATTAGTTGAACCAGTAACTTATGAAAAAGTTTTTTTTTTCAGGAATATGTATGTCATTTTAGATAATTTTTTTTTAAAATGTTAAATTAATCCATATTTGAGGTCCATACCTGAATAAAGTACGTTTCGAATAAATAATTTTGCGTTATTTTAATATGAACTCTATCATAATTTAGTTAATAAAAATATTATGTTCAATTTCTCATACTAATTTCCACACCTGAATAAAAACTATAGATTTTTAGAAAGAAAAGATCATGAATGACTGAACACATGAAACTAAATTTACACAAGGAGAAAATATAAATATATTTATAATAGGTTTCACATCGATTAATGATTGTAATTAAGTACGAAATGGTTTTATCAGAGGTTTTTTAACAATTAAGTTAGAAAAAATATCAAAAAAAAAAAAAAAAAAGTGCCAAAAGGGTGGTCGCCGCTATATTGTCTTTGAACATGTTAACTGCTTTCCAAGTGACAATATGAGACTGAAATGGAAGGTGGTTTCTGGCAGCAAAATTAGCTATTCATTTTTTAAGTAAAAAAAAATAATGTAAAAATAATTTTAAAAGGGCGAATTTTGAAACTCCTAAAAGTAATGCAATAAAGTAGTGCAAAAAAAATAAAAATAGGTACTGTTATTTCCTTGGAATTCGTCTTTTACTTTCAGCTATAACTTAATATAAATCGTTATCACATTTCATTCAATTTAATTCTTCCAAAATACCAACTTTGGAATTAAATTTCATCCTGAGGAACATTTTGTAAATAATCACTCCTTGTACATTCGATGTCACCAGCTATCTGACTTCAAGAATATACAGGGCGTTTCAGGGTTAAGTGGCTAAATTGCAAACATGAACTAAGGACCTCAATACAATAAAACAATTCCTCTGAATATATGTCCGCAAATGCTTTGTTTAGGAGATATTCACACCTAAAGATTTTCATTTTTATGAATTATTTACGTTATATGATATAAATACAACTTATTTATTTGTTCTAACTACTGTATTAATTAAATGTAAAAGTTAACATTCATATTAAATGTTGTTCAAAGTGATTTCCTTGAACATTAAGACAGGCTCGGCATCTTTCTTCAACAGCAGGTGTGGCAAAACGGCACTAGATATGTGTTATTGTTTCACAAGATTCAATTATCATTCTTCGTATGTAAGAAAGGTCGTTGACCGGACTTGCTCAATCATATCCTATATCTAAATCAATGGATTGGCCGTGGATGACCAGTGGTTTGGCGTGCACGCTCTCTAGACCTGACACCACTGGATTTTTTTGTTTAGAGATAAATACGAAGAAGGATAATTGAATCTTGTAAAACAATAACACATATCCAGTGTCGTTTTGCCACACCTGCTGTTGAAGAAAGATGCCGAGCCTGTCTTAATGCTCTAGGAATTCTTTTTGTACAACATTTAATATGAATGTTAATGTTAAAATTTAATTAATAAAGTAGTCAGAACAAATAAATAGATTTTATTCATTTCATATAACGTAAATAATTCATAACTACGAAAATCTTTAGGTGTGAATATCTAAAAAAAAAGCGTTTGTGGACACAACTTCAGAGGATTTTTTTTTCATGTTTTGAGGTACTTAGTTCATTTTTCTGCAAAACTTTTCGAGAAAATAAAATACTTAAAATTTTGTATTTTGTCTCTGATTTTAATAATAATAAACGTTTATTTATTCTGGGACGAGTCCCTTTAGAATAATACAGAGAGACAAAAATGTGGGCTAAGGAGCCTCAGAGATACATAAACAAAAATATAGTTTCATTAAATAGTAAAAATAAAATAAAATATATAAATAAATTAAAAAAATAATAAGAGAAATCATAAGTTACTTTCAATTTTTTTTTTTTTGTTCTTCCCTACCTCGCCTTTTAGGCTATATAATTTACATCAGTTAATAATAAAAAATAAAATATTGAAAATAAACATGAAGTAAAAATAATAAAGAACGATATAATAATTTATATACATATTTACAGTAGTAACTATTTACAATTTTATGAGGACTGGATGGATAAGAAATGATTAAACAGGCGGGATTTAAATGTAGGAGGGGTTTTGGATTGATGGATGTGGGGAGGGATGGAGTTCCATAGGGAAGAGGATCGAATAATAAAAGATTTATCGAAAGCAGTGGTTCGGTGAACCATTGTATATAAATCTGAAGACCGGGAAAGGGTATTGCGGGAGTTGATTTTAGCGCTTTGTCTCACTGTGTGTAGTGCCAAGCAGCAAGAAAGTTAATCATTGTATAATAATTTTCAGCGTTTTTGTTTAATTATTACAGACATTATCTACTTGGCTTTATAAATAAAACATATGTGGTCTCGTAAAATATATATTATATTTACAAACATCATGTAAAATCACGCACAATTTATGTACAAAATTAATTGAAGCTTAGTTACTTTTCTTCGGTATTCTCAGGTAAATCATCTTTATTTTTATTGAAGCTATCGGGTATTTCTGTCTTTTGTGAATCTGGTTTGATTTCCTCTGCCCTGGAGGAACCTGCCTGTGGTTCTGGTTCCACAGGATTATGCTTCAATATGGAACGCAATCCTGGTTGTAGCTCGCCCTCGGTTGAACCTCGGTGCACGGAACGACCCTCATAGATGGACGTGTCCAACCTCGTTGACAGGTCCGAAAGTTTTATTATATCGGTCACCCTGGACATCGCTTGGTAATTATCACTGCTTGGAACTGGGTGAAGGTAGGCGTAATTAGGATCGCTTTCGGATCCTTCTAATTCTTCATCTAAATATCCAATTTTCGGACCCTCACTTTCCGGCTGGCTCGCATCATCTGGATTTGTTTCCGTATTAACACTTTCAACTTCTACTTCCTCGTCGCTGACATCACTAATGAGAGAATGAAGCTCGCCTAAAGTGAACGTACCGCTGTCATCGAACCTCCGCAGAACTTTGGTACCTGTGTAATCTTCTTCCCTTCTCCCAAAATATGTGAGACTAGCTGATTCTGAAGCATTGCCTTTCAAACAAGACAGTACATTCCCACACATATACCAATATCACAACATGGCTCAATTAGTTTTACATTACTTTATGCTTCCGAAATTATGTATTAAAATCCATAGTTTTTACATTACATTTGATTGAACTAATATATATATTAAAAACATAGCGAGATAACATGTTTTCGTTGACTGTGTCAATATTCGTAACCTAAATAGTTACCATATGATTGATATAAGTTAGAATTATGATGTATTACTTATTATTGGGAGATTATCGTTTTCGTCATCTTTTATTTATTTTTAAACTTCTTTATTGAGATATTCCAATCTGTCACATTCAAGGGCAATAGTAATAGTGATATAGAGTAGCTCATTCATACCATAAAATAAATAAAAATAATAAAGAGCAATATAATCATCATCATCATCATATTCATATTCCTCTTTACCGCCTATGCAGTGTGAGGTTGCTTCTTGTAGAGCTTGTGCCAGGTGGACCTTTCCAGTACCAGCTCTCGTCTCCTGTTCCATTCCAAACCTCGCTTCTGGAATGCATCTCTCACGCCTTCTTTCCAGGAGATTCTGGGTCTTCCTCTTGGTCTCCTACCCTGCACGCGAGTCTCTTCCGTGCGACTCAGTTCCGGTCCATACGGAGAAGGTGCCCAAACCATCTCAACTTGTGTTCATCTATAATGGTTTCGACCGTTTTGGCGTCGAGATTGGCGCGGATTGTAGTATTGCAAATTCTGCCTCGTCTAGTCTTTTTCTTCACTTTTCGCAGGTATTGCATCTCTAGCTCCTGTGTATCGAAGTAAGTTTCCAGGACTCGGAGGAATACGTCAGTATAGGAAGGAATACTGATCTGTAGACCGTCATCTCCGTTTCCTTGTTCACCTCTTTTCGGTTCAGAAATATAATAATACTAAAGTAAATATAATAATACTAATATAATATAATAATACTAAAGTAAATTGTATACAAACTAAATAAAAATAAACCAATCTAACAAAATAAATAAACTAGACATACATGGCTTGAGTGGAGAAGTTGGCCATTGGCATAACTCCTATATATTCCTACAAGTCACTGGGCCACTGCCACTTCAACCTTCGAGGAGGATTGTAGGGATGGCTGGAACTAGATATGGATTGTGCAATTGGATTTGGATGATATGTAAGGTTTTGGTCAAATTTGGAAAACTTTTGAGGGATAAGATCTAGGACAAATGGGATATTAAGGTCATGATGTATGGTTTGGTTGGTTACATAGAACGGAGCACCAACTATTGTTCGAAGGTCTTTGGACTGAAAAGATTGAATGAGTTTGATGTTAGAAAATTTTGCTGTCCCCCACAGTTCCAGTCCGTAGGTCCAAATAGGTTTCAGTATTATCTTGTAGATCAGTAGTTTGTTGTCAATTGAAAGTTGAGATTTTCTGTCCAGTAGTCTATATAGCTGGCCACATCGTCGGTTGTGTTCTTGTCTTTTGAGTCTTTTATTTGGGCTCCATGTCAGTCTTTTAATGTCAGTTATCTTTAAATATTTTTTGTTCTTCTTTTGTTCTGTTGACATCACAGACTATGTAGTCTACTTGCCACCTTAAAAGGACTGCTCCATCTCTGCCTGTTTTGGCCTATTGCTTTCCATTTATCTGCACGCAGCTAAGTTGCATCTTTACTGATTCTATCCAACCATTCACTTTTTGGCCTTCCACATGGTCTTTTGTTTTATATTGATTTTATTTTTATTAGCCATTATCAGCCTTAGCGCAACCATTCCAAATTCGCTTTGGATTTTTTAGGAATTCTTCCGTTACTAATCCCAGCAATTTTATATACCTATTTTATTCTTATCAACTTAATCATATTAACTCAGTTATATTAACCGGATACAGTTCGAGCAATTCAGCGTTGTGTAACCGCAATGATCCGAATATTCTGCGCAACACTTTTTCAAAAATCTTAAGACGTTGTTCATGTCTTAATGAAATCGGCCACGTTTCGCATCCATGAAGAACCGTAGATTGTAGTTTTTAAGTTTCGAGACAAGAGACCCCAACTAAGTAGTTTTTGCAAATAAAATTTCTAATCTTTAACCTAACCCTAATATCCCCTTCGTTTTTTATAGTTATCGTAGAACCTTTGATACCTGGAACTTTATAGCTTATTAAAATTTGTATGCGTTTCTTTATATTTAAATTCAAATAGCTGTTGAAATAATATTATAATTGTACCTTTTTAAATATTAAATTTATTTGAATTTAGTTCTAACTTTTTACAAAGGTTTATCTCTATTGGTCAAACGCATATTTTTGAAGAGACAGCCCACTGTGCGTCAATTCGAATCCGGTTAGAGCGAGTTGAAATTTATTTTCTTGTAAGCTACAAAAGGCCAGGTGGTAAAAGGAAAAAAATGAATATTGACATGTTAATTTAAAAAGGAATAAAATTAACAGTACATAATACAATTTCCTAAATGAGATTGGTTTCATGACTTACGGTAATCTTTGATATTTCATATCGTTATAATTCTAGATATTAGAGAGCGCCCCCCCCCCTTGACATTTCCACCGAGCCGTGGAATTAGTGAGCAGTGGCGGAATGGGAAATGCTTCAGCACTCTCATCTTCATCTTCCACAATTGGAAATTCTAATCTCTCCTCTCTCCAAACGACCTCTTTTATCTTCGTCACATGCTTACTCAGCATATATTTAACTTTAGAATAAATGTATATCTACATTTTAATATTTTTCCTTGCTTCAGTTATGATTCAATTTAAGTAATTACTTCTGTAGTGATGCTGAGAAGTTAATTGAAACATACATAATAAATAAATGAAAAATAAATTCATATTAAATCTACATATCATCCAAATTTCGCTCCTTCCAAAGGTAGAGAAGCTTTGTATTCGTGAGGTTAAAAAAAAAAAAATTGTGCTCAGAATCTAAAATTTTACTCCCCTTTTATATTTCAGACATCAAGGATCAAATTTGGTTTGATGTCTGTCTGTAGTGCTATCGACGTGACAGCCATATCACCTTCAACCGTTTAACTGATTTTCATGAAATTTTATAGATTGTAGAGATTAGATGGTCCCATATGAATTTTATCAAATTGCATCTAGAACTTCTACTTACACATGCCTAAACGATTTTTAATTTTTAAATATATGCTAATGTTTAAGAAACTACTCGTTCGATTTGGTTCTAAGCTGGACTAAGATAGGTATTAGCAAAAAAAATATTTGGTATAAATTTTATTGAATTCAGTTTACTACTTTCTTTTATACATATATGCGGAAACGTGTTTCCCTGATACTTCCAAATCTCTAAAACCGTTGGATCAAATTTGGAAAAAGTTAGGGATTGTAAACAGATAATCAAATTCTATCAACTACTTTAAAAAAAAAATACTTCCGCTTTCAGGTCAGCAAACTTGATATTTGACACGTCAATAATTTGAAAATCGTTCGTTCGATTTGACGCTAATTTGGATGGATTTTTGAGATTAGTGCAGGAATTGCCTAGTATCAATTTCATTGAATTCTATTTAATAATTGAAATTAATGTAAATAACTGTTAACAATACAATGGCTGTGAATGTGGAAGGCATTGATTATATGGTATGGAGGTTAGGTTAATACATTATTTTATAAAAGTTTACATTTTATTCAAAAAGTGTATTTGTATTGTATTGTTAGGTCGATTCCAAACGTTTCTGTCATGACACTACCTGCCGTTACTTATATTTCGTGTTGTTCCACCCATCAATTAAAATGTAGAATTTTAAACAATGTTTCACTAAAGTATTTTTAATCGTTACTGAATCCAATAACTTACTTTAACGTTTGATTTATCAACAAAATTAGCTATTTATCTAATTGTACATACATAAATTGACTTATGCTTCGATGTAGGACCATTCTTGTAATTATTAATTAATGCATTTGCACAAATATTTGTACTATTTCTCAAAGGTTTATTTTTATTATTGCCTTAAATCATTATTAAGTCTTCATCAAATCCAATGATTGATTCATTATTTTGAAAATTACTTTCTCATACGATGCCGAAGAATGAGCACATTATACGGAAGATTTTGAAAAAAAATATTATGAAGAACACGAATCTGTTTTTGGACATAACTTAAAAAGTATACAAATTATGCTGAATTATACTCGTGATTATTAGAATGGTTTCCTAATTCCCTAAAAGGCAAAAAAAAATTATCTGAATCGAATGATCAATGACTTGTTTGAAATTACTACTGTCAATAAAACTAAAACACAAAAATTGTAATACCTTTAGAACTACCACAGATTCACACGAACATTATAGGGTCGAGATAATTCTATAGAGTTTTATTTAACAATATTATTACAGTTTTAATTATAGCTTGATTATTATAACTATAATATTACTTGTCAAAAGAAGTCTTTTATTCTTCCATTAAGCTTGGAAACATACTCCTTCAACAGGCACATCATGAACTGAAAATATTCAAAGAGAAAATTAATTTAATGTTCATTTATAACAAACGAAACAAATTCTACAGCATTGAATTGAATATTTAAAAATTACTTCTCAATTTAAAGTTTAAGTACATTTATATTTTGTTGTATTGAAAAAGATGTTACTCTCATCAGTCAATTACCTACATTTTTATTTTACCTATACTAATATTGTTTTAATATCAAACATAATGATTTTATTTACGTTCTGAAATTATCTTTTTTTAATAATAATTAGTCTTATAGACCCTGTAATGAACAATGTTTAGCTAATTTTAAAATTAATTTTTATATAATGATGAATAAATTGTATACTGTAGGAAATATGAATGGGAAGTTGGTTGTGAGAGAAGGAGGGTTAGGGAAGAGAGTTGCTGTCAGTGAGAAAACACTAATAAAAATATAAGATTTTTAGTTTATTTTGTGCCGACGTTTCAGCCTAAGTAGTTGAGGATCAACTATCAGGGCTGAGAAAAGAAAAGATAACAAAAAAAATTAAACTATTGTAAAAGTATATGATATTAAAATATATGTTA